GAGGGTAGCACACAGATGCAAGGGTTCAGTGGGTCCTAAAGGGGAAACTACAGCTGGCACTTTACTAAATTGACATATTTCCTTACTGCTCTCTAAAGAGTTACTTATATCAACAGATAAGTGTCCGTCCTATCTCTCCACACAGTGGATTCTCTTTGCAACAGAAAACACTACAGAAACTAAAACCCAGAAAAAATGATTGTCCTGGTGTCCCCACACAGATGTGAAGCCTGGAGATTGAGCTGTGTGAGCAAGCAGAAAAATCCCAGGGTAAAAGAGCTCACGCTAGTTTCTCCAACATACCGTCTCATTCTGGAAGGAATTCTAATACTTTATAATCAGACTGGTTTTCTCTAAAACCTTCACGTTTCAGGAACATTCTGATCTAACAGCCACGAAAGTATTCTCCCACGCAAATGCGTTCAAGGCATAGAAGATTTCAAAACAGTTTTCTGTTGTCTCTGTTGTGTGGTAATTAGAGATCAGTCTCTGGTATGCACATCTGCAATTAAAAAATATCAAGCAGGGCAGAAGGAAATACAAATGTACAGTTTGAGGGGACAAGGAGCACAAGAAATGCAGTGTTGGAGCCTTGCTTGGTGTTGAAGAGAAAAGAAGGAAGTAAAGGGAGGGGTCCCCACAGGGCAAGACCCCAGCCATCTAATCCTGCAATTTGTAAGAAGAAAACGCCTTCCGGAATGACTTGGCCCTAAAGAGCAACAAGAAATCGAAGTTTTTGCCCATAAAATTAAAGAAGGCTCCATCCAGGTTTCCGGTTTCATCCTAAGCAGGCAGCAGAACTAAAAAACTTCATTCAAGTTGTTCTGGTGTAATAGCCATGAATGACACATGAGTAAAGATACTGTGGAATCATCCTTGGTGTTTAAAATAAGCTGCTGAGGACAGGCATATGTCATTGGTGGCCCTGCATAGAGGCCTAGTGAGGCCCTACATGATCCTGTGAAGGTGAAACATAGAATTCATTGGTGACACCAAAATGTTGGAGATTCCAGAGCCGTGGATTCCTGCCAAGGAAAGCTGCCAACAGGAGTGGAAGCAGCCGAAGAAAAGACAAGTGTGTTGCAGTCAACTAAACACAGAGGGCTGGAAAGTCGAAGAGTGCATTGATACCAGACAAGGAGATGCAGAGTCTGGAGTTTGCACTGCTGGGTTTTGGTCTTGCTTTGGTCCAGCCTTTCCTCAAAACACTCTCTTTTCTCCTTTATGAATGGAACTATGTTTTCTATGACATTGTATGTTGAAACAGGCAATTTGAGTTTTACTTTTATATTAGGTTACAGTTAAGAGATTGACTTGAGTCTCAGAAGAGATTTTGGACTTTGAATTAGTGTTGAGACTATGGGGACTTTTGAACTTTGACAAAGTGAATTTTGCTTTATGATATCACTACAAGGCTATGGAGGTTCAGAGAATGGACTGTAGGGGGTGGAATAAACCCCCATAGGCTCATAGATTTGAGTGCTTGGTCTCCAGTTGGTAGAACTTTTGAAAGGGATTAGGAGGTGGGGCCTTTTGAAGGAGGCATGTCACTGGAAGTAGCATGGAGGTCTCCAAAGCCCACAGAAAGTGGACAAGCCTCTGTCTGGGCATAGGAGAGGAAGAGAAAATGGATAAGACTCTATTTCTGATGGAGTGTGAAGATGGAATTGGAAACAGACACAAATGGCTGTGGAGGATAGAGCCCATGTGAAGCCTAGAGGACAAGGAGTGAGTATTTGGACAGCTCTTCCAAGTGCCCCTACCACACACTCAGGAGCCTTTTGTGACAGGGAGATAGGAGCTCTGTGGTCTGGACCTGACCCAGCTGCCAACTTCCAGAGAGAAGTCTCAGAGTTCAGTTGCCTGAGAGCAACAGTGCGATTCAGATGGAGAATTTTCTCTCTCTTCTGGAAAGCGATGATCCTTCATGGCTGACTCCCAGCTCCACCACTTGGGCAATGGACATGATCTTTGCCTTTGTGTGTGGGCTGGGGCTCTTCTGCTTATTATTACCCCTTCTCCCCCTTGACTCATCCTCCTGGAGAGGGATGGTGTGTCAGGAAGTGGTGTCATGGGAGGAAGTGACCCCATTCTGCCTGGATTTGGAGGTAAATTGGTTGTTTGCCTCTTCTGAGACAATTTCTCCTCTCAGAGCCCTGGTCCTTCCTTCCACTCCACAGGCAAATAATGACACCTATGGAGGTCATTAGAAGGGGAGTAACCAGGTTCATGGAATTGTCCTGCCCAACATGCACCTTGTTCTCAATGCATTAGGGCACACGGTCATGCTCATGGTCATAACAGAGTACCTGTATAACAGTTGATTTCTACTGAAGGAAGGTTCATTCAGTCCGGTAAGATGCCCGGTCCTTCCAATACCCACCAATATCCCAGTCTCCATTTCCAGCTTACAGAGGCAGTAGGAAGAAACCAAAGGAGGACAAGGTACTGGTTTCACTTCTGCACAGGTGAGGCATCTTCACCTCTCTTTGAGGCATTCCTATTGCCTGCTATGTGATCACCCGCGACCAGGGCATAAGGTTATCCTGGGAATAGGGGCTCCCTGGATGGGTGGGATATGAGTACAGCCATGGAGGTTAGGATAACAAGGCCTCATAAAGAGCAGAGAGTGGAACGGTGGTTGTGGTGGGCTGCGAGGGTCCCTCCCTATTCATCTTGCCCCAACTCCTGGCCCCATGAGCTCCTGGCTGCAATCATATCTCCTGCCTTTTACAGCATTCAGGAGAGGCTTGCCAATACCATCAGCATTTGCAGCCACTTAGGACAAGATGCCTCAGGTGAAGCTGCCAAAGCTCACCTGCCACCTAGGCAGCCCAAGGGGAGTCTGTGGAAACCCATTCATCCCTAGAGACTTCCTCTGCTCCTTGCAACAAACACTTGTTATTCAAAGATTCTAAACCCTTGTCTCCTGTCCTGCTGACTTCCTCACCAATGGAGACACAGTCATCTGAGAGTGCCTCTTGCCCACCAGAGACCTTGACAACTGGAAGACACCTTTCAAGATCACAACAAAGGGTATCTTTCTACCCATCAGATCCTCTGGATCCTGTGGCTTGTCCTCCACCCATGCCAGATCCCAGAGTGGCAACTCCTCACTTTGAACAGAAAATACTAGAGACATCACAAAGACCCACTCTGCCTGGTTTGCCTTCTTACATGTCAACTACCCCAGGTATCAACCCCTCAAGGAGGCCTACTTCAACCATCACAGACCTTAACTACTCTAGCAGGTCTACTTCAATCAGCCTAAACCAAGAGCACTTAAGCAGGCCTACCTCAAGTACTCCAGGTGTTGGCCATTTAGACAGGCCTACATCATCCTCTCCAGGCCTTGAACACTCAAGTAGGCCTATCTCAGGCCCTTTCAGGTACCAGGTAACTTCGAGAACCGTGTGCCACTCTACCTCCTCAACTGATGAGGCCTTGAAAGAAGATCTTTCTCTCACCATCAACAAAGCCTCATTCTTGAATGGCCCCACAGACAGCCAGTTAGAGGCTGGGTAGCCCACTCTCATCAGCCCTGTTATACATGAGATTCAGGAAGTTCAGATCAGGAAAAGAGTCCAACTAAAACATTGCAAGGGGGAAACAAAAGGAAGATCAGACCTTTCCTCCATCGCTATGGTCAATAAACTGGATTCCTGCAGCAGCAAGGAGGGCAATGTCACCTCACGTCCTTTCTGGCTGGACCCAACTCACAAGAGGGTCTTAAATAATGGTTTTAAAGAGAAATATGTGCAGCTTTACTGGGGTCTCCCCTTTCTCCACAGTGAGTCCCTAGTGGCTCCTGTCAGCATGGCAGGCTCCACACTAGATCTCCCCTTCATCTTGTTTAACGGACTCTCTACTTAAGCCCATTACATGTTAAGAATAAAGGCCATCCACAGCTCTGTTCTCCAGAGCCCTTACTTCAACACTTGGTCAAATCCCAACCATTGTCTTCAAAGATTTCCTGGTCCCAAACACCATCAGAGGCTAGAATCCAAGGCAAGGCCCATGACGCATCCTCTTTCTCAAAGCTGCCATGCAGTTCACCTCCAGTAAAGAAAGATGGGGCTTCTTGTCTTACATCTTCAAGAGCCCAATTTATTGTTTCTCCCAGGGCTCGAAACCTAGAGCACCACCTTATCAAAAAACAAGGAGAAATCTCGAGTGATTTGCCAGTCATCGTTAAAAAAATCTCAGGAAGCAACCAATCAAAAGACTATTAAGAGTTGGGGCACACTGGGCCAGGAGACTGTTGTCCTTAACCAGGGGGATTACATTAGCCCTGAGCTCAGGGAGAAAACAGAAGAACACTTCAAAAAGAGACGCACACAACACAATGTCAATGGCCACCTAAAGTCCAGCTATCTCTGGACTTGGGTCAGGCAGAAGTTAATCATAGGATTTCATGTTCCTCATCACAGGCAAATGGAAGTGGAGAGAGTCTACAGAGTGTTTCATCAAAGGCTCCAGAGATGTTACAACCATGGCGGACCACACACAAGGATCTTCCAAATTATCTGGCAAGAGCTCTGAAACAAGATCTATCACCAGAGGGTTCCCAGGGCAGAGGCCCCAAGACCATAAATATTTTAAACCTGAAGAAGGCTACATCTTTACCCTATCCACAGTCCTCCAATGCCTCTCTGTCCTGGGAATCTACACATGACTCCATGATCGAAACAGCCAGTATTCTGGGAGATCCCATCCAGCAAGCTCCAGAAAGAGACATGAAGATTAAAGCGTCATCTATGGAATCTCAGTACACACAGAATTCTCCTTCTGTCTTGCAGCCAGCAACCCTGAGATAGGGGCCACCTTGTAACAACTCTGTGTCCTCTGAGGCCCCTACAACTGCCCAGAGATACAATGACACTACTTTGTCCACCCCACAGTGCCTTGTGGGCAGAATATGGCACAGGGAAAGAGTTGATAGATCTATGGCAGAAAACCCAGAGCCTAATCAATGCCAACTCCAGGGTATCTGGAAGACAATGCGGAGTGAGAGGTTGACATTAAGACAGAACCAGCATGGGGTCTCAGTGGAGGAGATCAGTGGCTCTTCTCAGTCCTCATATAGCAGGGCTACCAGGGAGCTGGAGGAGACAGAGGAGGAAGAATCTTGTGACTGGACATGCCCAATGGAAACTGGGAAGATGGGTGATTTTGCAATCAATAATCAGCTAGAGAAAAGTACAACTCTATCACCCTCTTCTAAAACCTATTCCCACGTTACAGACGACTCAAGCCTGAGCTCGGCGGCTGGCTTAGACCTGCGGGACTGTGCCCCCGAGAAAGTATGCCAGGACTGGGACCCCGAGGTTCTGCTTGCTGCCGATATCCTGGCCTCCAGGACCTCCTGGTCCAACTTTATAAAGGAGTTTACTACCACAAGTTACCCATCCAAAATAAATCCCGTTTCTCATCAAGAAAACGTAGTTTCCACCACATTTGCAAACTGCAGGAACAACAGCAGTACCAGAGCTTTGTCACAAACATGCAGAAAGATAAATACAGAAGTCCTACAAGACAGGACACACAACTTCATGGGAGGAAGCCTGTGCAAGTCCATACATCAAATGATGAAACATTTTGGACATAATTAAAAACCTTATACTACCAACTTTCACCCCCAACTGTATATACAAGACAACACAAAGCAAAAGTGCCGGGGTTCCCTATCTTTTACCCAAGGGCCACTCACAGGTCCTAGTCTTCCCCAAAAAGCAAGGAGTAGGCCAGTCTACGAACCAAAGATAAACCCAAAAAGCGTTGGCACTGTTTATCATGCAGGCATCAAGAGTCAACCTTCTTTTGACACAGGGATGCCCTATGTCAAGGAGCAGGCCCAGGCAACCAGAGGCCCTGTCTCCTGAGCCAGCTCCTGTTATAAAAGCGCCCACATGCAACATGCTCCTGGGATCCTTGTGTGCTGCCCAAGACACGGACACTGCATTAAAGCCTGAATAGGAAAGAAAGTGCTTTCCCCAAATTAAAGTGATCTTTTTTGCTTTACTTTCTCTGAGAATGTGTTTTCTTCTGGTTGTATCTGCTTGCTAGGTCAAAGAGAAATGTTTGCATCTGGTCCACCTTCAAGACTGCTCAGGAGAGGATACGGTTCTATAAAGGGGAGACAGAAATATTCCCAAGTTCCATCACTGTAGTTAGAGTCAATCAAACTGTAATTATGGAAACAAAAGATTTAGGATTTGTGTGTGTGTGTGTGTGTGTGTGTGTGTGTGTGTGTGTGTGTGTATGTATGTACGTGTGTGTGATTGTAGAGGGGAGGTGTCTAAATGAACTCTACAAAACACAAAAAAGAAGTCTTTGGTACTAGGGATTGTGATCAGTCAACCATGTAAGACCCCACCCTAAGGGTCAGCTCCTATCCCAAGTACCACAGGTCTTGACCACTAATGCAGGAGTATACTGGCCACCCCAGGTGTTGACCACTCAAGCAGAGCTGAGTACACAGAGTGTCTCATCAAAGGCTCCAAAGATATTTTAACCATGGGGGACCCCATACAAGGATCTGACACACTATCTGGGCAGAGTTCTGGAAAAAGATCTGCACAGGTCCCCAGAAGGTTCCCTAGACAGAGTTCTCGAGGCCTTCTCTGTGACAGAGGGGGAAATATGCCACATGAGACACCCAACAAGTGATATGCAAATGGTTCCCAGGAGAGACAAGGAAAGAAACAGTTAGAAGGCACCCCGAGGAACCCCTTAAGTAGTAAGTGTAGGAAAACTAGTGACAGTATATGGTACCCGTTGGAATCTCTTATGGCGTATGTGTAGAACATGCATTCATTGGTCCCATCTGAAATCTCCAAGCCAAATATGGAAACTTAGAAAAACTTATGTTAACTGATTCAATCCCTATCATTAAAACTCCTAATGGGCCTTCTTGACAAGATCCAGGCACTCAGAAGTTGTTAGAAACATGTATTTCAAGATACCTGGTGATACACAGATGTAGCCAACCCCTAGAGGCCTTAAGATCATATATATTTTAAACACGAAGAAGGCTACAACTTTACCCTTTTCACATTCCTCTGTGAATCTTTGTCATGGGACTCTAAAGACGACTCTATGATACAAATATCCAGTGACCTGGAGAACCCATGCAGCAAGGCCCAGAAACAGATGTGAAGACAAAAGCTTCCTCTGTAGAATCAGTCCACACAGAGCTCTCCTCCTGCCCTCCAGCCAGCATTCCTGAGAGAGTCTCCACCTAGTATCAATGCTGTGCCTGCTGAGTCTCTTACAATTGCCCAGGGGTACAATGTGACTTCTCTATCCACCGCACAGAGTCACGTGGGCAGAGCGTGGCACATTTGTTAGATCTTGGGCAGAACACCCAGAGCCGAATCCATGCCAATTCCAGGGTTTATGGTAGTCAAAGAAAGTGAGGGTGTGACTTTAAGACTTAACAACCTTGGGGTGTCAGTTCAGGATTTCAGTGGGGTGTCTCATTCCTCAAGTAGTAGGGATATCAGAAAGCTGGATAAGAACAAGGAGGAAGAATCCTGTGCTTGCACATGCCTTGTTATAGTTGGGAAGATGGCTGATTTTTCAATCAATCTATTACTGGAGATAGTGGAATCTATCATTTATTCTAACTCCTTTTCCAATGACGCAGAAACTGGGGCCTGAGCTCAGTTGATTGCTTAGTCCTGCAGGATTGTACAACTAGAAAAATATGCCAAGACTGGCCTGCCTAGGTTCTGCTACTTGCAGATATCCTGGCTCATAACACCTCCTAGTCCATCATCAAGATGGAGCCCACTACAACTAAGACACCATTGCAGGAGAGGTCCCCTTTCTTATCACAAGAATTGCAAACTGCAAGAATCATAGCTTAGCTATAACTTTGTTGCAAATATCAAAAAATATCAATAAACATGTCTCAGGCAGAACAAACAACTTAAAGTGACAGAGCCTATCCAAATCAAAACATGAAGTAATGAAAAGTTTGGAGACATATGAAAAGATTGACACTATGGATTTTAACACCCAGCATAAAGTACAAGAGAAATCCAAGGAAAAATGCAAGGGTTTCCCATCTTTGAGCAAAAGCATCATGGGCCAATCACAAGCAAAATGTTCATGCCTAGGCAGATCCTTTTAAGACAGAACAATGGGACCCCTGTTACATAAATACTAAAGAGGAAAATTGGGAGTCCACTATAGCTGTATTCCCCCAATCCACTGAGTAAGCATGTCTCCCACAACAAATCAAAGAAAAATTTAAAAAAAGGAAAAAAATAAAGAAAACATTGGCACACTACACTATGCACACCTGAAGAGTCAACATTCCCTTATCAAAGAGATGTCCTATGGCAACAAGCACTTCAGGGTAGCCAGAGACCCTGTCTTCAAGCCAGCTACTGTCAGCAAAGAGCCCATATTCAACACGTTCCAGGAATCCCTGTCTGCTGTTCAAGGAATAGGCATTGCATGAAATGTGATCTGGAAAGCAAGTGCTTTTCCTAACAAAGTAAACTTTTAGATATAGTTCTCTCTCAGTATGTTTTTCTTTAGATTGTATCAGCTACTAGTTACAGTCAGCTATACTGTAATTGTGTAAAAACATATTTTAGGATTTGTGTGGTCTGTGTGCTTATATGTGTGAGTGTGGAGAGTAGCATCTAAATTAACCCTACCAGACATAAACAAGAAAACTTTGGTACTGTGGTGAGTGATAAGTCAACCACGTATATACGTCAACCTAATGGTCAGCTCCCATTCCAATCACCGCAGGCGCTGACCCCACAAGGCATCAGAGCAAAACAACCGCAGGTCTTGATCATTTAAGCAGGTCTGACTCAGGCCTTTCCACTTACCAAGCAGCTACAAAAACTTGGTGCCAACATAATTCATCACTTTATGTGCCCTAGCACGAGAATCTTTCCCTCAGCTTCCAAGAGGCCTCACTATGGAAGGACCAACAGGCAGGCAGATAGAGGCTGGTGAACCCCCTTTAATTAACCTTAATATTCATGAGATGCTGGAAGTTCCTTAGAAAGAGGCTTGGACTGAAGGTTTGGAAATAAAAAGGAAAAGGAAGATCTAACTGTGCCTTAAGCTGTATGGACATTATCCTACTGTAGTGGAGCCGGAGGCAGGTGAAAGAGAACTTCAAGCAAAAATGCAAGAGTTTTGCATCTATGACCCAAAGCATCATGGACCATTCACAATCAAAGTGTTCATGCTTCAGCAGATCCATGAAAGACAGAACATAACGACATTTGTTGGACAAATTCAAAAGAGGAATTGGGGGGTTCACTATAGCCGTGCTCACCCAAATCCAGTGAGCAGGCAACTCTCCCAAAACGAATCAAAGAAAAACCAAAAAAAAAAAAAAAAAAAAAACCTGGAAGAGTTCACCATGCACACCTGGAGAGTCAACTTTCCCTTAACAAAGGGATGTCTTAAGCCATATCCTACTGTAGTGGAGCCAGAAGCAGGTCAGTAAAACCTCTTGCAGCTTTAGGAGCAGAAACTGCAAATCAGAGCAGTATTCAGTTCCTTGGAAGTGCTTAGACCAGGGGCCTTAGACACTGATTTACAGCAGTGATGGAGCCAATTCTTCTGGAGCCTCTCTTTCTCCACAATGAGTCCCCTGTGGTTACTGTCAACATGACAGGTTCCCCAGTAGATCATCTCTCCATCTAGTTAATGGATGCTCTATTACACCCCTATCCAAGTGTACACTATCATACCTCCATAGCTCTTCTTTTAGAATTCCTTATCTCTAATATGACCCTCGAGACAGTCCCCTGCAGAAAGTTAATACTTGCTGCCTGTATGGCAATTAGATTTGTACTAGAGGCCATATGATAAAATGTGCGATTTCAAGAAAATTTGGAGATGTCCCAGCCTCTACTGTGATGCTTTTATCTTCCATCACTCTGGGAGGAAGTTGTTCTCACTCACTGATCTTGAATCCCAGAAGGCTATTTCTACCATGTTCACAGGGCATACATAGCTTCCTGTTGCAGCTTCTGTTCTCTTATCCTGACAGACTGGAGGCCAATAGATCTTGAGGGAAAGGGGGACACCTCACCGATGCAAGGGTTCAGTGGGTCATAGAAAGGAAACTACAGCTGGCACTTTACTAAATTGACATATTTCCTTACTGGTCTCTAAAGAGTTAATATATCCACAGATAAGTGTCTGTCCTATCTCTCCACACAGAGGCTTCTCTTTGCAACAGAAAACACCACAGACACTGAAACCCAGAAAAAATGATTGTCCTGGTGTCCCCACACAGATGTGAAGCCTGGAGATGGAGCTGTGTGAGAATGCAGATAAATCCCGGGGTAAAAAGAGCTCACATTAGTTACTCCAACATACCGTCTCATCCTGGAAGGGATTCTAATTCTTTCATAATCAGACTGCTTTTCTCTAAAACCTTCAAGTTGCAGGAACATTCTGATCTAACATCCAAGGAAGTGCTCTCCCGTGCCAATGTGTTTAAGGCAGAGAAGTTTACAAAACAGTTTTCTTTTGTCTCTGTTGTGTGTTAATTAGAGATTAGTCACTGGTTTGAATATCTACAATGAAAAAGATCAAGCTGGGCAGAAGGAAATACAAATGTACAGTTTGATGGGTCAAAGAGCACAAGAAATGCAATGTTGGAGCCTTGCTTGGTGCTGAAGAGATAAAGAAGGAAGTAAAGCGAGGTGCCCCACAGGACAAGACCCCAGCCAGCTAATCCTGCAATTTGTGAGCAGAAAAAGCCTTTAGGAATGACTTGTCCCTAAAGAGCAACATGAAATCAACATTTTTGCCAAAACAATTCAAGAAAGTTCCATTCAGGTTCCGGTTTTATCCAAAGCAGGCAGCAGATCTTGGCAACAGGGTCATGTGGGTCGTGCATAGTCATGAAGGAAAGAAGAGTAAAGCTATTGTGGAATCATTCTTGGTGTTTTGTGAAAGCTTCTGAGGACAGGCAAATGTCGGTGGCATCCCTGCATTGATGCCTAGAGAGGCCATTACATGACTCTGTTAAGGTGAAGTATAGACTTCGTTGGTGACACCAAAATGTTGGAGATGCAAGAGCCGTAGATTCCTGCTAACTAGAGTGGCAACAGGTAGTGGACTCAGCAAAAGAGAAGGAAGTGTGCTGCAGTCAACGAAGCAGAGAAGGCTGGGAAAGCCAAAGAGTTCTTTTATACCAGACATGGAGATGCAGAGTCTGGAGTTTTCCCTGCTTGGTTTTAGTCTTGCTTTGGTCCAGCCTTTCCTCACAACACCCTAATTTCTCCCTTTAGAAATGGAACTGTTTTCTGTGACATTGTATGTTGAAACAGGCAATTTGAGTTTTACAGTTATGTTAGAGATTGACTTGAGTCTCAGAAGAGATTTTGGACTTTGAATTAATGTTGAGACTGTGAAAGACTATGGGGACTTTTGAACTTGGACTAAGTGAATTTTGTTTTATGATATCGCTACAAGCCTATGGAGGTTCAGAGAATGGACTGTAGGGGGTGGAATAAACCCCAATAGGATCATAGATTTGAGAGCTTGGTCTCCAGTTGGTAGAACTTTTGGAAGGGATGAGGAGGTGGGGCCTTTTGAAGGAGGTATGTCACTGGAGGTGGCATGGAGGGCTCCAAAGCCCACAGAACGTTAACAAGCCTCTGTCCGGGGATAGGAGAGGAAGAGAAAATGGACAAGATTCTATTTCTGATGGAGTGTCCAGATGGATTGGAAACAGACACAAAGGCTGTAGAGGATGGAGCCCATGTGGAGCCTGGAGGACAGGGAGTGAGTGTTTGGATAGCTCTTGCAAGTGCCCCTCCCACAGACTCAGGAGCCCTTTGTGACAGGGAGATAGGAGCTCTGTGATGTGGACCTGACCCAGCTGCCAACTCCCAGAGAGAAGTCTCAGAGTTCAGTTGCCTGAGAGCAACAGTGCGATTCAGATGGAAAATTTTCTCTCTCTTCTGGAAAGCGTTGATCCTTCATGGCTGACCCCCAGCTCCACCACTTGGGCAATGGACATGATCGTTGCCTTTGTGTGTGGGCTGGGGCTCTTCTGCTTATTATTACCTCTTCTCCCCCTTGATTCACCCTCACCTGCACCAGCAGGAAACACCAACCCCCAAAAGGTAAGTTGGCCTTAGGCCCAAACCAAGGAAGAATAGTTCCCTCTCTCTCCAGGCTTCACTTTCTAAATAAAATAGGAAGGTGGCTGACAGGGGATCTCAGCCTGGACTAGGACCCCATCCTATTGAGACCTGGCAGGTAGGGTAGAAGGGAGAGTGGGCTCCAAGATGTCTGCTCTCGGACAATCTATACCTGGGAGTAGCCCTGTGCTTTGGTGGTCAGGAGCAATGTTTTCTGGTTTGGATAGGGACTTCTGAGAAAGGAAAAGTTCTGAGCCATGGTTTCTATGTCCTCAACATACATGCTTATAGGGTGGATCGAGATGATATGAAGGGGGCAATGACATCCAGAACATCAGGAAGCAACTGCTGGTACTTCAGAGCTGAGCCTCTGGTCCTTGAGCAGAACAGCATTGACATCCATTGTGACTCTCACAGAGACAGTCGCCATTTGTGTTTTCTAAGAGAAAAAGAACACATATTTGCCCACATTATACATAGATCTGTGAATGGAACCACAGGTTCTCTCTCTCTCTCTCTCTCTCTCTATTTATCTATCTATCTCGCTGTCTCAGGTGGTGAGGTGGGAGCACAGAAAAGTAAGGAAGAAAACCAGGACTGTGAAAGGTAGGATAAATTCATCCCCTGGGACAAGATGACTTTAGCCTCCCTCTCATCCTGCAGTAACACTAATGAGTTGCAGGAACCTCAAAGAGGCAGCTCCTGGGAAGGAACCCAGAATTGAAGACAATTCCCAGGTTCTGGGCTCAAGAATGAAGCTCTGTACCGCCAGGACTGGGTACTGCCTGGGGAGGGATGGTGTGTCAGGAAGTGGTGTCATGGGAGGAAGTGACCCCATTCTGCCTGGATTTGGAGGTAAATTGGTTGTTTGCCTCTTCTGAGACAATTTCTCCTCTCAGAGCCCTGGTCCTTCCTTCCACTCCACAGGCAAATAATGACACCTATGGAGGTCATTAGAAGGGGAGACACCGGGTTCATGGAATTGTCCTGCCCAACATGCACCTTGTTCTCAATGCATTAGGGCACACGGTCATGCTCATGGCCATAATAGAGTACCTGTATAACAGTTGATATCTATGGAAGGAAGGTTCATTCAGTCCGGTAAGATGCCCGGTCCTTCCAATACCCACCAATATCCCAGTCTCCATTTCCAGCTTACAGAGTCAGCGGGAAGAAACCTAAGGAGGACAAGGTACTGGGTTCACTTCTGTACAGGTGAGCCATCCCCAGTTCTCTCTGACTCACTCCTATTGCCTGCTATGTGATCACCCATGACCAGGGCATAAGGTTATCCTGGGAATAAGGGCTCCCTGGATGGGTGGGATATGAATACAGCCCTGGAGTTTAGGATAACAAGGTCTCGTATAGAGCAGAGAGTGGAACGGTGGTGGTGATGGGCTGCGAGGGTCCTTCCCTATTCATCTTGCCCAAACTCCTGGCCCCATGAGATCCTGGCTGCAATCATATCTCCTGCCTTTTACAGCATTCAGGAGAGGCTTGCCAATACCATCAGCATTTGCAGCCAGTTAGGACAAGATGCCTCAGGTGAAGCATTCAAACCAGATGCTGCCAAAGCTCACCTGCCACCTAGACAGCCCACAGGGGAGTCTGAGGAAACCCATTCATCGCTAGAGACTTCCTCTGCTTCTTGCAACGAACACCTGTTGCTCAAAGATTCTAAACCCTTGTCTCCTGTCATGCTGAATTCCTCACCGATGGAGTCACAGTCATCTGAGAGTGCCTCTTGGCCACCAGAGACCTTGACAACTGGAAGACACCTTTCACAATCACAACAAAGGGTATCTTCCTACCCATCAGATCCTCTGGATCCTGTGGCTTGTTCTCCACCCATGACTGATCCCAGTGCGGCAACTCTTCACGTTGAAAGGAAAATGCTAGAAACATCACAAAGACCCACTCTGCCAGGTTTGCCTTCTCCCATACCAACCACCGCAGGTATCAACCTCTCAAGGAGGCCTACTTCAACCATCCCAGACCTTAACTACTCTAGCAGGTCTACTTCAATCAGCCTAAACCAGGAACACTTAAGCAGGCCTACCTCAAGCACTCCAGGTGTTGGCCATTTAGACAGGCCGACCTCATCCTCTCCAGGCCTTGAACACTCAAGTAGGCCTATCTCAGGCCCTTTCAGGTACCAGTTAACTTCGAGAACCGTGTGCCACTCTACCTCCGCACCTGATGAGGCCTTGAAAGAAGATCTTGCTCTCACCATCGATAAAGCCTCATTCTGGAAAGGCCCCAAAGACAGCCATTTAGAGGCTGTGGAGCCCACTCTCATCAGCCCTGTTATACATGAGATTCAGCAAGATCATATCAGGAAAAGAGTCCAACAAAAACATTGCAAAGGGGAAACAAAAGGAAGATCAGACCTTTCCACCATCGGCATGGTCAATAAACTGGATTCCTGCAGCAGCAAGGAGGGCAATGTCACCTCATGCCCTTTCTGGATGGACCCAACTCACAAGAGGGTCCTAGCTAATGGCTTACAAGAGAAATGTGTGCAGCTTTACTGGGGTCTCCCCTGTCTCCACAGTGAGTCCCTAGTGGCTCCTGTCAGCATGGCAGACTCCCCACTAGATCTCGCCTTCATTTTGTTTAATGGACTCTCTACTTACAGCCCATCACATGTAAAGAATAAAGGCCATCCACAGCTCTGTTCTCCAGAGCCCTTACTTCAACACTTGGTCAAATCCCAACCACTGTCTTCAAAGATTTCCTGGTCCCGAACACCATCAGAGACTAGAATCCAAGGCAAGGCCCATGACGCATCCTCTCTCTCAAAGCTGCCATGCAATTCATCTCCAGTGAAGAAAGATGGGGCTTCTTGTCTTACATCTTCAAGAGCCCAATTTATTGTTTCTCCCAGGGCTCGAAACCTAGAGCACCACCTTATCAAAAAACAAGGAGAAATCTCGAGTGATTTGCCAGTCAGCGATAAAAAATCTCAGGAAGCAGCCAATCAAAACACTATTAAGGGTTGGGACTCACTGGGTCAGGAGCCTGTTGTCCATAACCAGGGGGATTACATTAGCCCTGAGTTCCGGGAGAAGACAGAAGAACACTTCAAAAAGAGACGCACACAACACCAATTTCAATGGCCCCCTAAAGTCCAGCTATCTCTGGACTTGGGTCAGGCAGAAGTTAATCACAGGATTTCATGTCCCTCATCACAGGCAAATGAAAGTGGAGAGAGTCTACAGAGTGTCTCAGCAAAGGGTCCTGAGATGTTACAACCATGGCAGACCACACTCAGGGATCTTCCAAAATATCTGGAAAGAGCTCTGGAACAAGATCTGCCGCCAGAGGGTTCCCAGGGCAGAGGCCTCAAGACCATAAATACTTTAAACCTGAAGACAGCTACATCTTTACCCTATCCACAGTCCTCCAAAGCCTCTCTGTCCTGGGAATCAACATACGACTCCATGATCGAAACAGCCAGTATTCTGGGACATCCAATCCAGCAAGCTCCAGAAGGAGACATGAAGATAAAAGCGTCATCTATGGAGTCTCAGTACACACAGAATTCTCCTTCTGTCTTGCAGCCAGCAACCCTGAGAGAGGTGCCACCTTGTAACAACTCTGTGTCCTCTGAGGCCCCTACAACTGCCCAGAGATACAATGACACTAATTTGTCCACCCCACAGTGCCTTGTGGGCAGAATATGGCACAGGGAAAGAGTTGATAGATCTATGGCAGAAAACCCAGAGCCTAATCAATGCCAACTTCACGGTATCTGGAAGACACTGGAGAGTGAGAGGTTTACATTAAGAGAGAACCAGCATGGGGTCTCAGTGGAGGAGATCAGTAGCTCTTCTCAGTCCTCATATAGCACGGCTATCAGGGAGCTGGAGGAGACAGAGGAGGAAGAATCTTGTGACTGGACACACCCAATGGAAACTGGCAAGATGGGTGATTTTGCAATCAATAATCAGCTAGAGAAAAGTACAACTCTATCACCCTCTTCTAAAACCTATTCCCACGTTACAGACGACTCAAGCCTGAGCTCGGCTGCTGGCTTAGTCCTGCGGGACTGTGCCCCCGAGAAAGTATGCCAGGACTGGGACCCCGAGGTTCTGCTTGCTGCCGATATCCTGGCCTCCAGGACCTCCTGGTCCAACTTTATAAAGGAGTTTACTACACACAAGTTACCCGTCCAAAATAAATCCCGTTTCTCATCAAGAGGACGTAGTTTCCACCACATTTGCAAACTGCAGGAACAACAGCAGTACCAGAGCTTTGTCACAAACATGCAGAAAGATAAATACAGAAGTCCTCCAACGCAAGACACAAAACTTCATGGTACGAAACCTGTGCAAGGCCACCCATCAAATGATGAAACGTTTGGGGACAAAATTAAAAAGGTTATATTCTCAACTTTCACCCCCAACTGTAATATACAAGAGAAATCAAGGCCAAACTGCCAGAGTTTCCCATCTTTTACCCAAGGGCCACTCACAGGTCCTAGTCTTCCCCAAAAAGCAAGGAGTAAGCCAGTCTACGAACCAAAGATAAATCCAAAAAGCGTTGGCACTGTTTATCATGCAGGCATCAAGAGTCAACCTTCTTTTGATACAGGGATACCCTATGTCAAGGAGCAGGTGCAGGCAACCAGAGACCCTGTCTCCCGAGCCAGCTCCTGTTATAAAAGCGCCCACATGCAACATGCTCCTGGGATCCCAGTGTCCTGCCCAAGGCACAGACACTGCATTAAAGTTTGAACAGGAAAGAAAGTGCTTTCCCCAAATTAAAGTCAACTTTTATGCTTTACTTTCTCTGAGAATGTGTTTTCTTCTGGTTGTATCTGCTTGCTAGGTCAAAGAGAAATGTTTGCATCTGGTCCACCTTCAAGACTGCTTCAGGAGAGGATATGGAACTATAAAGGGGAGACAGAACCATCCCCAAGGTCCATCACTGTGGGTAGTGTCAATCAAACTGTAATTATGGAAACAAAAGATTGAGGATTTGTGTGTGAGTGTGTGCGTATGTATGTGTGTGTAATTGTAGAGGGGAGGTGTCTAAATGAACTCTACAAAACACAAAAAAGAAGTCTTTGGTACTAGGGATTGTGATCAGTCAACCATGTAAGACCCCACCCTAAGGGTCAGCTCCTATCCCAACTACCACAGGTCTTGACCACCAATGCAGGAGTATACTGGCCACCCCAGGTGTTGACCACTCCAGCAGAGCTGAGTCCACAGAATGTCTCATCAAAGGCTCCGAAGATATTTTAACCATGGAGGACCCCACACAAGGATCTGACACACTCTCTGGGCAGAGTTCTGGAAAAAGATCTGCACAGGTCCCCAGAAGGCTCCCTAGTTAGAGTTATCAAGGCCTTCTCTGTGACAGAGGGGGAAATATGCCACATGAGACACCCAAGAGGTGATGTGCAAAGTGGTTCCCAGGAGAGACAAGGAAAGAAACAGTTAGAAGTCACCCCGAGGAACCCCTTAAGTAGTAAGTGTAGGAAAACTAGTGACAGTATATGGTACCCGTTGGAATCTCTTATGGCGTATGTGTAGAACATGCATTCATTGGTCCCATCTGAAATCTCCAAGCCAAATATGGAAACTTAGAAAAACTTATGTTCACTGATTCAATCCCTAACATTAAAATTCCTAATGGGCCTTCTTGACAAGATCCAGGCACTCAGAAGTTGTTAGAAACATGTATTTCAAGATACCTGGTGATACACAGATGTAGCCTACCCCTAGAGGCCTTAAGATCATATATATTTTATACATGAAGAAGGCTACAACTTTACCCTTTTCACATTCTTCTGTGAATCTCTGTCCTGGGACTCTAAAGACAACTCTATGATACAAATATCCAGTGACCTGGAGAACCCATGCAGCAAGGCCCAGAAACAGATGTGAAGACAAAAGCTTCCTCTGTAGAATCAGTCCACACAGAGCTCTCCTCCTGCCCTCCAGCCAGCATTCCTGAGAAAGTCTCCACCTAGTATCAATGCTGTGCCTGCTGAGTCTCTTACAATTGTCCAGGGGTACAATGTGACTTCTGTGTCCACCTCACAGAGTCACATGGGCAGAGCGTGGCACATTTGTTATGTTTTGGGCAGAAAACCCAGAGCCGAATCCATGCCCCGTTCCAGGGTTTATGGTAGTCAAAGAAAGTGAGGGTGTGACTTTAAGACTTAACAACCTTGGGGTGGCAGTTCAGGAGAACAGTGGGGCTTCTCAGTCCTCAAGTAGCAGCGATAGCAGGGAGTCGGAGGAGACAGAGGGGGAGGAATCCTGTGCATGCACATGCCCTGTTAAATCTGGAAAAATGAATGATTTTCCAATCAATCGATTGCTGGAGACAAGTGGACTCTGTCATTTATTTTAACCCCTTTTTCAAGAATGTAGACACTCAGGCCTGAGCTCAGCTGCTCGCTTAGTCCTGCGGGCATGTATAACTGGAAAGGTAGCTCAAGACTGGGCTGCCTAGGTTCTGCTTGTTGCAGATATCTTGGCTTCCAACACCTCCTGGTCTATCATCAAGACTGAGTCCACTACAACTAAGTCAACTTTTCAGGATAGGTTCCCCTTTCTTACCACAAGAATTGTAACCTGTAGGAACCATATCATAGCCATGGCTTTGTTGCAAATATCCAAAAAGGTGAATACACAACTCTCAGGCACAACATACAAATAAAGGGATGAAGGCTATCCAAACCAACACATCAAGTAATGAAAAGTAGGGAGACTGAATGAAAAGGTTGATAATATCGATTTTAACTCCCTGCCTAAAGTGAAAGAGAACTCCAAGCAAAAATGCAAGGGTTTCTCATCTATGACCAAAAGCACCAAGTGCCACTAGCAAGCAAAGTGTAAACTATCATAGCTCCACAGCTCTTCTCTTAGAATTCCTTGATTTTTCAATTTGACAAATCCACACATTTGACTCAAAAACACTCCTGGTCCCGTTCTCCACCAGTGGCTGGAATCCAATCCCAGGCCCATGATCCATTCTCTTCTCGTGGCTACTATAACAATTATGTAAAATTAGAGAATGTTCTTTCTGAAGTGGGTCCTGTGGTTCTGATGGCTGCAGATATCTTGACATCTAGCGTTGTTAGTTCATGTTAAGACTGTGCTTGCTCCAAATCATCACGCTCCCAGAAGAGGAATCCCTTTCTGTCAAGAAAGCGGAATGTCCCCAAGATTTCAAATCCCTAGGAAGCATGGCATAACCATATCTTTGGTTCAAACAATGAAAAAGTTTAATATGGAAGCCACAGGCAGGACCTATAGGCTATAGGGACAAGGGTTCTAGAATCCTCCATGTCAAATAACCATGAAAAGAAGTTTGGGGACAGAATAAAAGGCTTTTTATTGTCATGATGATTTACTCCTGATATGCTCTAAATTTACCTTTGTGTAGCTGTGTATAGAGGCACCAATGAGCCAGTTCAGTGTCTACCCAAGTCACAAAGTAGGCACAGTGCTCAGGACAGTAGTGTGGCATCCTTGAGTTCAAAGTAGACGAATGATTACCTCTGAATATCCTGCCGAGGCATATAGGATCTAGGGGCCTTAGGAAACTCCTAATCAACTCACTGGAGAAAGGCAACCAACTGAGTTCTCCAGTCCCTGCCAGTTCAGCCTGGATGGCAAAGTAGTGTCACTCTGTCCTATGTCTGCCTACAATGCCAGAATGGTGGCCAGCATGGAACAGACAACTTTCACGAGGGTGGTAGCTGCAGAGACCCCTGGTCATTTGCAATACCTCCTGTATATACAGTGCTCATCTGACTGTGGACATGATGAAGGTAGGAGGATATAGAAAATACAAAGTTTAGAGCCAAGGCAGGTGACCATGTAATGTGAGACTGACATAAATATTTCCATACATATGAATCCCCCGCCCCTCCAGTTCAGACTGTTGACATTGGGGTCAGAGTCACACATCTTAGCCTCCGTCCATGCTTCCCTATGGCCTGGAAGAGCCCTTTAGCTCAAAAGGACTTTCCATTGGCATAGTCTTTCTGGACAAGTAGTCACATGTGCTCAGGCCCGAGTCTTCTGGATTCTGGGAAACAGTTCTAGAATTGGATAGACTTCTGTCTCCAGAGATTCATTGATTTGAGAGTTACTCATCTCTAGAGTTTCCACAAGGAACGCTCACTCACAGGACTCGTCTTTCTCTGCCTGCTCCAGCTCTTTTGTATTCCTGCTACTTGTTGAGTTGGATGCCACACTGAGTTCCCGAATTGACACCCCTTTGTACATTTCTCCTAAATCTAAAACATCACTCTCCTGTGGCTTGTACACATTATTGTCTAAGCCTGGATTCCTCGGTGTTGCCTGTCCAAAATTCCAGAAAAAAACATCACTGTGTCAGGCTCTTCCCACAAGGCTCTATGGTGTGGATACAAAATTCATATTGTCCTCCTGAATAGTTGTGTTTATTTAATTTAAATTGGGTAAAGTGCTTGCTTTTCCAGATAGTACATTTCTGCAAAGGCAGAGTCTTGGACAGTGCATAGGTATCTCTGTGATACATGGTGCCTGTACCCTGTGATGATACAGGACAGCTCAGAACACAGGTTCTCTGCACATAGGATGATCATGGGACATCCAGCTGTCTGTGGAAAGTTGGTTGTGTACCATAGGGTTGGCTTGGCTAACACAGTTAGTGTTTCCGTGATTCTTCTTAGATTGTACCCTAATAATCCTGTGGTGGTACACATGCCGACTTGCAGGATGTAGTATTGGGTGTTTCTTTGTGTAAATTTTCTTTCACACCTATGGTGAAACCCCAGTTTCTTCTCTGGAATCAATCCAAAAGAGGTTATGAGGTCCTTTTCTTCAGCAACCTGTTGGGGCCATGAATAATCTGCTCACGACTGATCTTTGCTCTGTGTCCTGGCTAATAAGATTTTGACTTTCTCAAGAATAGAAGGGTTGCTTCCCAACAGCACATTCAGCAATCTGCATGTTCTTCCCTTCTGAGGTCTAGAGATGAGCTGGCGGAAAGGCCAGAAGTTAGGAATTCTGAATGTCCCACACAGACTGGTGGCCTTCACATGCACGTTGTGCTAGCATTACTCTCAAGGAAAAAGAGGGGACCTGGAAATGGTTGAGAGAATACTCTGCTCACACAACAAGGCATTCTAGGCCTCCAGCCCTTGCCTTCCCATGAGACCAGCAGAACAAGCCGTCTCATAGTGCTGGTTCACACAGCAGAAGGGACTTTTCAAATCTGTGGCTCTGGACCGGCCAAGAAGAGTCCCTTCCTGAGCATTGCTTGGCTACTTTTCCAGGTTTCCTTACTCAGTCTCTGTTTCTTAGGAAACATGTGAGCATTACTGCATACAAGAGCAGCCTATTCCCAGGGTGGCCTGCACTGTTCCTCACAGAAGGCAGCAGGAAACAGCTCCAGCAGCATCACTGATTTCCTGGTAAAAATGTGCTTCTAGAAGGTGTCATCAAGGACATGGACATGGGGTCTGCTCCAGCACACTTCAGCAGAAACCCTCTCAGCCCTCCACAGGCATGCGCACAGAAACCGAAGGCAGACCTCTACCAAGACCCACACAGAGACATGTCACCACAGAGTTTCAGAAATCCACAGAAATACCCCCACAAAGATCAATACTAAAGTCCTGACAATGACCCCCCCCCAAAGAGACTTCTGATTGTTGGTACATCTTACAATATGAGAAAGGAACAAACTTCAGAGTCCACACAGAGTTTTCAAAGACACTTTTGAT